CTGGGTGGATCTGGATTCTGTGAGCTTTTGGGGAAAAACTAGCCATTGTTGAGAAGCAGGTGAGGGTTGTGTTTGTGCTCCGTGACCCATCGTACTTGCAGAACTTGGATGCCATTCTGTTATGCTGGAGCTGCGTGGTGGGGTTGTCACCAGCACCAGCTGACAAAATATATTTCTAGAACATTCAGGTCCACGGTGTTTCTCTATTTCACTCAGCTATTCCCAAGGGCGTTACCTCTTTTTCTGCATGGAAGACGGCAATGACTTCTGGACCGATGCCTGGTATACACACAGACAGACGCGAGATGAGCTTCGGCGTCAGATCCCAAAGCTTCCTTGACAGCCACTCAGCTGTCCCATTTTTGCTTTTGGGAATAGAAATATTGATAAGGAAATAGTTATCTCCTGATGACAAATGCCTCCAGGAGAGACAAACCTCGAGGAGGAATAGCTTAAAACAGAAACAAAACAAAACAAAAGACATCAGAGAAATCAATGTTTGCTCCAGCTATTACTCCACACTGCCAGAAGATGGGGCCGCATCTATTTTTTCTATATGCTTTTGCAAACTACAGCCATTGTAGAGAAAATCTACGTTGGTAGGTTCATTCCACAGTGAATGATTGTAGTCTTGGCTTTATTTTGCTCTCTGCCATCCTCCCTCCCTCCCTCCCTCCCTCCCTTCCTTCCTTCCTTCCTTTGTTTCATTCCCCTTTTTAAAAATAAAAACTGCTTTATTCTTAGGAAACTATTAAAGAACCCTCTCCCCCCATTTCTTTAAATACACATAAAGGCCACTCCTCAAATTTGAAAATGAATAAAATAGGAGTCATGGCCTTTCCACTAGGGTGTCACTTCCTTCAGTTTTCTACTCAGAAAATAGAAGTTCAGTAACATCTGCTATACTTATATGGTAGGGCCTTATTCTAGGCCATTGAAAGCTTCAGAAGAAAGGTGGAACTCTAGTCAACAAAGAGGTATTATCTGTCCTCAAGACCCCCGCCTGGGAGACCTCAATCATGTAACTCCTGAGTCAGGAGGTGATAAAACAAAAGGTACTGAAGCTAAGGCGGCTGTGAGTGTTTGGGGGGAAGGGGGAGATATCTCCAAGGATGAGCAGAAGGAGGTAGAAAATGGGCTAGAATTGCAGAGAAATGCCATGGGTTTTTTTTTTTTAGATGTTGGGGGTAGGAGTTTACTAATTTATTTATTTATTTTTGCTGTGTTGCGTCTTCGTTTCTCTGCGAGGGCTTTCTCTAGTTGCAGCAAGCGGGGGCCACTCTTCATTGCGGTGCGTGGGCCTCTCACTGTTGTGGCCTCTCTTGTTGCGGAGCACAGGCTCCAGACGTGCAGGCTCAATAGTTGTGGCTCACGGGCCCAGCCACTCCGCGGCATGTGGGATCCTCCCAGACCAGGGCTCGAACCTGTGTCCCCTGCATTAGCAGGCAGATTCTCAACCACTGCACCACCAGGGAAGCCCGCCATGGTTTTTGTTTTTTTTTCAGCTTTATAATTTACTGTATTCATCCTCTGAAATACTCTATTGTGTTTTTTTTCTCTGTTAAAGGCCTAATTTCCCTGTTCATTCAACTCCTCTGCCCTAGTTTTTAAAAAAAATTAAAACCCGATTGATTGGAATCAAGTGCAGCCATCATTTCCATAACAATATCAACAGTTTCAAAATTAGGCTCACAACTTCCGAGAGAAATTATATCATGGCTCCTGGAAAATCAGCTTCAGGGAACAGCTTTTGCTAAATACTAATGTGGTTTCCAATCAGGCCACAGCACACAGAGAACCGTTGTCAACAGGGGGGAAAATGATTTGTTGGGTTTGACTGAGCCGCAGGGCCAGGCCCTCTCATACATCTTGGCAGCACTGGGTACAAGGAACTTACAGATTTTATTGTGTGATTTAGTTCCTGATGAAGGTTCCTAGGCAAATGGTCTGACTGTGTGGTTAAATCTTGCTTGTCTTGGAATCAATTTCAGTTGGGAACCAGTTCTCTCTGAACAGAATTGCCAGTTTCCTTTGTTCATATTTTCTATTTAAGATTCTCTGGTGTCTCTTAGGGTCAGTAAAGTCTTGGATTTGCATAGCTATGTATAAGATACTCACTGGCTAGAAACACCTGCCTTGTGTGTCTTGGTTTGTGGGCAAGCTTAGGGAAGGCTCTTGTGGGCTCAATTCAATGCCAAGAGTCCTGAGCCATGTTGTGGTTTGCTGGAGAGGTCAGCATTGTCGCCAGAAATACTTAACCCTCAGAAGGTCAGATCGGGTTAAATCCCTGCAAGCCCAGTTTCCTTCTAGACTTCAAACAACACAGAGAGATAAGAACATACACCATCCATGAATATTACAGACATTCCTATTCAAGCTTTTCATTCTTAGATGAGATGAAGGTTGACCAGCTGACTGACCCACCTTCACCAAATAGCTCTGCAAAGGCCATAAGCCCTGCTTTGTCATTTGGGCTATCTTCTCATCACAAAGCAGGCAAAGTGTGGGCATGCACCAGTTCCTCACCTTTCTCCCTGGACAAACTACAAACCCCGTGTAATGGTTAAGTCACAATGCATTCAGCTCACATCTTGACTTTATTCACCACATGCGGCCTTAATGTAACCGCTTAACCTACCCTATAAAATGGGAATAATCAAAGTATCTGCAGTGAGCACAGTGCCTGGCACACAGCAAGGACTCAATACACGCATTACCCTCCTTTATCTTCAGCAACAGACAAAAAAAGGAAAAGCTGGAAGAAACTTTAGAAATAACCTATTCCAGTAATTTTCAAATATTTTAAAGCCATGGAGAATGCTTTGTAGAAATGAAATTGTGGGCAGAAATATAAACCTAAGAAATAGATTTAAGACGAGGAACTCTGAAGAAGGTGTGAGGACCTGGAAGATGGGGGGCCTATCTGCTTGGCCCTCCTTCCTCTCTGTCTCCCCCAGAACACTCTTAAAAAGGTCTCTAGAACTCTAAGAATTGCAATGTTTATAGTCTGGCAATCACTCATTTAACCCAATTCCACATTTTAAATAACAGGCCAAGAGAAGGAAGGAGATTAATGTATGGTCATATGGCTAAAAAAAGACCTAGTCCGACTTGACCAGTTTTTATTACATACCTTTGAGTTAGGCACTGGAGATAAAAATGAGATATATGGGTCTTCATCTACTCTATTTTCTGAAGGAAAATCAGGGTTTATGATCTTACAACAAGCACAATATTTTGATTCAGTACTGTCCTGGAAATTTAGAGATGTTTGGTTACAGTCAAGCAAAGATCCACTCTGAGTGTATAAGCTAGTAGCTGAGACCAGAGAGCCTCATAAAAGATGACTAAGGCATCTTTGGCTTCAAACCAAATGTGTGGTCCCAACACAATTAGAAGATTCAGAAGTGGTAATAATCTGGGAAGGTTGGAGTGCATGGGGAATGCTCCATGGAAGGTATTATTCCTATGGTAGCCCTTGAAGATAGGTCAGAGCATTGGCAAGTGGAGAGAGAGATAAAGGCCATTCACTCCAGAGGAACCCTATGGAAAGCGGTGTGGAAAACACAATATATGTTGAAGAAAGTTGAAGAAACAACTAGCTTGGTAGGAGATGAAGATTCTACTAGAGAATTTGAGGTAATCACATCGTAGATACTGGGGAAGGGGATGGACTTTATTAAATGGGGCACCCCTGCTGAGTATAAGCATGGAGAAGCCAATGTGTGCAAAGTAACATTCTTGGAAAATTAATCACATCATAATAAGTACAGGATGAAGGGAGGAATCAGGAAAACAAATTGGGGAGCAATTACAGTAGTTCAGACATGACATCATGAAGGACTGGGCTTGGGGGTGGCAGTGAGACCCAAAAGGAAGGGGAGGGTATGAACAGCTACACAAAGAAGGAAACAACAAACTTTAGTGACTCAGCAGATGCTGTGGACGAAGAGAGAGAGGAGCTCAGACTGAGGGCAGGATATGAAGCTGGGGTGGACAGCCTGTGTGCTGAAAATGAGAGTCTATAAAGAAAGGCACTTAGGAGGCCCTGGTGAGTTTTTGGCTAGTTGAGTGTGCAGGGACGGGGAGATGTTAGGTAGACCTAGAGAGTATCCATAGTGCCGGTGGTTAAGAGGTCAGCTCCAGGGGTCTATCGGTTCCACCACTCCCAGTGGTGTCCCTTTGGGCAAGTTATTTAAATTCAACTCTCTTAAGCAACAGTTACCTCATTTGATGGTTGTGAGGATGAAATAAGATAAGGCATATAATGTGTATAGGACAATGACTGACCCTCGGGTGCATGCTCTCTACCTCTGTGTCTGTCTGTAGCTGTAGCTCTAGCTCTTGAATTATCCTGGAAGAAAGATGTGAAACACTCAAATTTAGCGAGGAATAAAGATAAAGATATTTAATTCATTTTAGAAGTGATAGTTGAAGATGTTAGTTATCTCTTGAAAAAGAAGAGAAAGGGATACCAGGAGGAGAAGTCTCTGGACACCCAGGGGGTAGTAGAGACGGCACTCTGGACCAGTCCACACAGTTTATTATTAAGGTGCTTGGACTCTCAGTCTCACTGGGGAGTCCCCGCTCTGATGGACCAGGACAGACAACAAGCATGACAACTTGGGAGTCTGGCCCATCTGACGCCAAGTGCAAGGCAGATGAGCAGTCACATGGGCCCTTTTCTCTTGATCCTATCCTCTGATCCTTGCCTCTCCCTGAGGCCTTACCATCCAAATGGTCATAAAAGTCGAGGGAGGACAAACTCAAGAGCAGAGCCTTTCCCAAACACCTAACCCTACAGTGGAAGTCAATGCCATCGTTATTATGACTGATTTTGGAATTAGAGAGAGAAGGGAATTAGGGGAAGAAGAGAGAGAGAGGGAGGGAGACAGAAGGTCAGGGAGGGCAAACAGTATAATTTTATAAAGTTAAGACTCTAAAATCGGTCTTTTATTTTCTTTCAAATGTTCTCCTGTGCCCCAGTGACATTGCGAAATTTTGTCCTTGGTGTGAGCGATTCAGAACAGCCTTTCTGGCAGGGTGAAGTGGTAAAGGTGGAAGAAGTGAGCTTCTCCCAGTGAATCATGTCACAACTGGAGGCCACAAGCCACAGAGGAGAGGAAGCCTGCAGTCTGAAGATAAAGAGACGCAAGTCTAGTAAACGATGCTATCATTTGGACAAGAAGAGGAAGTGGAGCCCAGTGGCAAGGCTGGAGAGGAGCCGGCAAGTGAGGACCACAGGGTGCCTGAAGCCAAAGGCGAAGAGGACAAAGAATTTGATGGAGAAGGACGGTTCTTTCAAAGACCTTCCCATCTCTGACCCTCGCCTGAATTAGGTCTCATCTGAGGTTAGTGCTGGACATTCTAAAGCCAGTTGGATCCCAGGGGGAGCTCTCAGGACCACGGCCTTATATAAGAACTAGGGCAACCACAGATAAAAGCTGATGATTTGGGCATGAGCAATCAAGACCAGTGCTGGGCAGACACCAGACTCGAATTCCCAGACATGTTCTAAAGTTACCAGCACCGGTGCTCTGGTTCAGGCCCCCCAGTAGCATGGGCCAGGGCTACTCACCACCCATCAGTGTGATTAAACAGCAGTTATTTATCTCATGGTGTTCACCATTTTGACATCTGTCAGCTATTTGCTATAAAAAATGATAATAATTATTACAAATATAACAACAAAAAATAACCATTACTGTTTGGGACTGATTTAGAAACAAAAGGCTCTTTACAAATGATTTAGCATCTGAATTTTCCTTAGGTTGCCTCAGATTTGGCTTTCCAGGTCATAAGATTTTAAAACCCCAAGTGTTTGGAAGTTTAGTCCAGAAGGAAGAGTCTTAGGCTGGGAGTCAAAAATGCTCGCTTCTGATCCCAGCCACACCTTTCTTGCTCTGTGACCTTGGGTGACAATTTCTCTGAGCCACAGTCTTCTCCACAGTAAGTGTAGTGGACAGACGTGTACTCTGGGTCTTTCCCAGGTTGAGGTAAGGAGTAAAAGAAAGAAAGAGGTTGAGATTACACTGGTGCAGAAATGTGCTGATTAGAAACACATGGGAGGTGCGGGACCATTTGTTTCTAAATCACTCATTCAACTGCTAGTTCTTGCTGGGGTGACTATTATTAGTGTTAGGTGTTGCAGCCAACCTTTCAGCTGCAAGGGCTCTCTTGCAAACGTCCAAAAGATTAAAATTAAAAATAGTTTAAAAATAGATTCAGGGTAGTCCCTCAGGATAAGAAAGGTTAGCCGAAGATAATTCAGGCGCCTCCAACAACAAAGCTGTGATCTTACATGACATGTTCCTCACAGGACTCTGTCTCTCGCTGTCACAGGAGCTCAGGCCGATGAAACTGCTGTCATCTCCAATGTGCTGGTCACCACGCTCTGAGGGTCTTGCCCCTGTAACTGAATGTTCAGCCCGGAAGTGACGTACCTCTCTTCTGTTCACAACTTGTTGGCCAGAGCTGGCCACATGTCAGTTTCTGTCCCCCAGTGTCACGGAGCCAGGAAGTGAGTGCATCCTTCCAGGGACCCGGAAGTAGAGGACTGGAAGTCCTTAGCCAGCCACAGGGACTCCTCTCCATTGATCCCTGCAGGGGTGGTACTTTGACTCTTGCTAGTGATGGAGTCACCCATCATTCATTTTGTGTAACGAGCATTCGTTGAGTACCTGCTGTGTGTGAGGAATGGTGTCCAAGGTGGGAGATGCAAAGTCATAGACAAGTTCTCTGCCCTCAAGCACAGCATTAGACATACACACTGGAGGGGACATGAGTGGAGTACTGACTGGAACAGTCAGTCATAGAGAGGCTGGGGAAGAATGTTGCTCCCAGTAAGGACAGCAAGAGCCGAGACAGGGCAGGGCCAGCACCGCGAGTGCGGGCCCTCTAAGCAGAAGTTTCGCTGGAGCATCAACTGTGAGGTAGGATGGCTGAGGGTGGGGAGTTTGGATGAATGGAGGACCAGTTAGGAGGTAGTGACAGCATCCATGGAAGAGAGATGAGGCCTTTACAGGGCAGGTGAAGCAGGGATGGAGGGAAGTGCTCAGGTTTAGGAAACTGTGGAATGCTGCCTTCAACTCTAAGCTCCCCCAGGAGCCCCAGAGCACAGAGGGAGGGAATAGCCTGCAGCCAGGTCAGAGCTGGCCGCTGTGTCCCCTCGCTTAGAAACCAGACTTTTTGGTTTAATCCCAGCTCCCCCATTTAATGGCTGTGTTACCCTGGGTTAGTTATTTGCCCTCTCTGTGCTTTAGTTTCCCTGTTTTCAAGATGGGGATAATGAAAAAGACAACTCATAGCTATGAGATTAAACCAGTTAATATGCATAAAGAGCTCAAGACAGAGGCTGCAGGGTGTGGACCATCGCTCCTAGCACCGCAGGGGGGTTCCTGCCTCTCCCAGCCAGGCCTGGCCTGTTCTGCCAGCTGAAATGTCAACACGGGCGGTTCCCATCTGAACTCCCCATAGACAAAGGACACTTTGGGGCCTGGGACCTGAGCAGTGTCCTTTTCTGTTTGCTTCACAGAGGCCTTCCTTTTCTGGCCTGCAGGGTGGGCGGGCTCTGAGCAGCAGGTCATTTTCTGCTGAGTCACCCTGCTGGCCCCTCCTGGCTGGCGTCTGCCCCCAGATTCCTAGCAGGAGGGGCCCGCCACCCTGAGCGGTTTCTGTTCTGGGGGCACAGAAAATAGCATTTTACTTGGGGGGATCCAAAAGCCTTCCTAAGAAACAATAGAGGTTTTTTTATGGGGCAAGGTGGGCTGTTTGCCAGGGTAGCCTGCCAAATCATGCCAGTAGAGGAGGCCCTGTTGTCACTGGGCTTTGTGCCATGAATTTGCATCCGTCGAACAGAGCAGGAAGCAAGAGCCCAGAAGGGCCTGGGTTCCGATCTTATTTTTACCGCTTAAGACAGATGTGCCCTTGGTGGAGGTTTAGAGACTGTTTCACTTCCACAGCTGCCACGCTGGGTAATAATAGTTGCTGACCTTTTATGAGCACTTGCTAAGCGCCAGCCTCCCTACTATGCTTTCAAAGCATCTTCTTAATCAGTCTTTACCAGCTTGTGAACTAGGTTCTCTTCTTATTCCTGTTTAACTCCTGAGGACACTGACTCTCAGAGAGATCAAGTCGCTTGTATGAGGTCACACAGCAGGCCATTTGATGCCAGGGCCCCTTTCTCTCAAGTACACCTGCCAGCAGGCTGCAGGGACTGAAGGATGGGGATGTGTGAGTCTCACACAGTGGGTGTGCAAGCGGGTGTGGCCTCAGTTGGTGTTTTTACTATTATTTATTCCTTTAACACGATGTGATTATCCCTTTGAAGCAAAAGAACAACAGCAAAACCACGATGCAGCAGCATCGTTTTCTAGGCTGGCTTTTGTCCTGAACGAGGCGAGGACCAGTCTTGCCTCTTGGCCCCCGCATCATCATGACATGGAGGGTCTATGGGCAGAGACCCCAGGGATCAGGAGACCACACCCCAGCCGCATACTTTACCCTGGTTATATTTGCTTCTGAACGGTACTGGGCTGACCTTGTTTTGAAGCAGAGTGACCTTCAGTCTGCATGTCCTCATTTTGTGGTTTAGGACTGAAGTGTGTAGGTTGTAGAAATTGCACGGATTCCAGACAGGCTGGCCACACTTAAAATGCCACCGACAGGTGTGTGACGCCTACTCTTTTAACTCCGTGTGGGTCAGATACACATTACTCCTCAGAGCAAGAACTTTCTTAAACCAACTTGGAACTGGGCTATTTTGCTTGCTAGCTCCTGGCCCAATAACACCAGGGTTTTTTTTTTTTTCTTTTCTTTTTAAGAGTTTTCAAGAGACGTTTGCTCCTCTCCCAGTGTCCTTTCTGGTGCCCAGAAAGAGTCCTGGTTACTGAAGCCGAAAACACATTCTCCCCTTGGTCACCATCAGAATCAAATTACCGAGCAAGCGGGTGCCGACGAGGCCTGTCCCCACGCAAACTTAATTAACAAAATAGGTAAGTGACCCAGTTTCCTGCGGAGTGACATTTCCTGAGGAGTGACACCTTGTGACAGGGACACGGCTTGGCAAGATGTGCAGCTTGGAGCCTGGGATCTGCCTGCCATTTGGGCTCCTGTCGGAGTCACTGTCGAGACCATTAATCTTCAATATACGGCTGCACCTTCTCCTCGGGGGGTTGGGTTTTCTTGTTCTGTTTTGTTCGGCATGGCATTCAAGATTCCTTCACAGAAATCTGTGTTGGGGCAGCAAAATGCTATGTGAATTATGTCCTCGTGAAGTCACCATCTGGCCAATATTCATCTTGCTTTGCAAAATACCAAGGATATCCTTCGGCACAGATGCTGGGCCAGATCATCACACACCAGCGACCGCAGTCGTAAACCAACAGGCAATCAAGTGTAATTAATGCACCTGGTACCCGCTTCAGAGTTCCCAACCTGCACAATGCTTGGCTCTTTTTTTTTTTTTTTTTTTTTTTTTTCTGTATGTGGGGCTTGGTTTTGTTTCCTTCCCTTTTAGGGTGGGGAGAGAGGTTTGCAGTTTGAATCAGCTCTCGCATCTTCAGCAGTAATTAAGTCACCGTCACGGGGCTGGTAAAAATGGGAGTGTTTGTGTGTGTTCAAGAAGCTGCATCACATGCAAACAATACAGCACTGAGCAACTTTCTGTGGCTTGAAGAGGCCATTGTCCTGTGCGCCTGGCATCCATTCTGCTGTTGGCACTCACTGGCTTTGGCAGGCCGGCCCCAGCCACTGGTCTCCTAGTGGTTTTGTGCCTGATGGAAGAAGGGAGGGATCTCAAACTTGGAAAAACAAACAATAAAACACCAAGCAGCCCATCGTCTTCCTGTGAGCAGAATATCACAGCCTCCTTCCTCTCTTGCTATGCTGGGTGCTTTAAAGTGGTGATGGGAAAGGTGGGGAAGCATCCTGCCTCTGTGCAATCGACATTCTGGGAAGCCGTGAACACTGTCTTTGGACAGAGACCAGCGAGGGTTCGCAAGTGGGACACAGAGGGTGGAGGGGAGTGGAAGCTGCAGAATAGCCAACAGTGATGGTGACTGCGGGTGGTGATGGGGTGCGGGGGTCCGAGGGTCCCTGCAGGCTCCTTCCATCACAACAGCCATGTAGGCTGTGGAGTGTGGGAGTCTGGAGAGCCTTGATCTGGGTTCAGGAACATGCAGGACAGTGAGCTGGGCTCCTTTGCAGCTTCCCTGCGCTGCACTTAAGTGCTCTCATGGTGACCTTGCTGTGGGCACCTTATTCTGAAGCACCGTGTCCCATTGCCTGAGCGCCGTCTCTGAAGCCTTCTAATTGCCAGCTCTCTTCAAATCAATTCCATTCAACAGATGTGCACTGGATTTCTGCTCCAGAGCCAGGCCCTGAAAGAAGGAGAGGCAGTTAGATAAATGAATCAGATGTCATAGGCTTCTGCGTATAGAAAGCATTTCCTAGTGTCTGAGAAAGGAGGCAATAGTTTGAGCTTCAATCCAGACTCAGGAGCTGAATCATCTTGGGCAAGTTCGTTAAACTCTCCAGCCCTCCATTCTGGGGGCTCAGCAGTAAAATGGCAATAATAGTGCAGAGTTGCTCTAAGAATTGAGTGAGATTTTTATCTATCTATTGATCTCTATATAGTTCACACACATATATACATGCACGCGCACTAAGCCCTCAAGAACCTGTTGTTATTTTCCCTGCAATTCAGATGGAGCCTGAAGTGGTAGTAGGTCATCTCTGCCTACAGAAGTCCACAAAGGCTTCATTGAAGAGGAGAGATTGAGCCAGGTGTTTCTTCTTCCAGTAGACCCGAGAGGAAAAGAGCGTACCAGGGTGGGGAAATATGTGTACAGAGTCAGGGAGGCAGGAAAGAGCCCAGCGTGTTCCAGGAACAGCAAGTACACCTGGAGCCCTGGTTTCTGGGGCGGCCTGGGGTCAGATGGTGGAGGATAACCCTAGAGAGGCAGTTGGTGGCCAGGTGGACACCCACCGAGGCCCCACCTCTTTCAGATGGTAGCTGCTCCAAGAACACGCCTCCTCCACCTTCTCTGTGTTGTGTGATTTCCCCTCTCATTCTCAATACTACTCAGACTCACCTTTTCCATTCAGCCTTTCCTGCTTCCAGGTTCAGTGCAGCCCCTAGCACCACTTGGGACTGGTAAGACGTCATCTATCACCTGTCTGGGCTCAGCTTGTAAAGTCCTCCAGGATGGAGAACTCATAGAAGGCTCCTCTAGTAACCACATTTCAATAGCACTTTGCAAACAGAGGGACTTTTGTAAAGGCACTTGCTTCACCAGGTAGATTCTTAATTAGCAGATGAGGAGTAGTGATGGGAGAGCAGAACCCAGGTAGAGATGGGACACCTTTGCTTCCAGTGACCTCAAATGTGTCATCAGTCTCTTTGAACCTAGTTTTCTGTATCACCAAGACAAGGGCCACCTGTTCCTGAGGACGTTCTGAGAAGCAGGGAGGAGGCCCAGGGACTTTGGGAGAAGCGTGCAGCCTAAAGGGAGCCTTTGTTTCCATAACTGTGGCCGGGAAAGAACTTGTCGGGTTCTTATGGGCTTGTTTGCCCGCAGGGCTTGGAGTCTCTGAAGCTGCACCTCTTTCCTCTCCTCTCGGGAACAGAGCCCAAGACAGGGCTCTTTTACCAGCCCTAGTGTGTGGGTGTCACACTTCTTCCCCATTTATCAGGAGGTGGTATGTGCAGTGCTAACTCCACAGCTTTGGTGGTGACCCTCACAAACCCTGGCAGGAGGGAGCCTGGGGTCAGAGGGATTGACACACACCTATATCTCCCTCCCAGTAAGTGAGAGAGGTGAGACTGAGATAGAAGATTTTCTGACACCAACTCCAGGATCTTTTTACCATCCCACTCGGTAAAAATGCCCACTGGAGCATCTTTGGATGCAAAGTGGCACCAGAAGGAAAAGATATGTAGAATCAAGAGCCCCACGGGAACGGATCATAAACCTTGCAAGTTTCCAACTTGACCAACTGTTAAGGAGGAGACAGAACAGAGAACAGGGAGAGGAGTGGGGACCCCTTGGTGCGGGTGGAAGAGAACAGCTGGGTGTCAAGTGCAGAACTGGAGGTCTAGCAACAAAGTCTAGACCAGCAGAGAGAGGAAACAGAGGGGCATGGGAGGAGCATATGGGCTGGGTTCATGGTTGTGAATGATCAGTCATGGCTGAGTCAATGCTGAGGGAGCAGCCACTGAGTAGAGTTTCAAAATCCAAATGGAGCACTGACTTTGCACAAAGCAAAACAGGGTTCCTGACTTCACAAAGAAGATGCTCTTGCTCTCTCTTTAATTATGCTTTCTGTGTCAGGAAGGGTGCCTGGGCATGATCAGTATGATTCCAGAATAAACATCACTGCTGGTCACACCCACACGGGAAGTCTAGATGGAGATACAAGACATGTCTTCACTTCCCCACCGTTTAACCTGTTCTTCTCTGCAGAATCCACCTGGAAGGGCGGCTAGGAGTCTCACCCTCTCTTGGAATCTTTGTTTTCTCCTCCTTCACAGCCTTTTTGTCTTTGCATCCCAGAGGGACTGCCTAACCTCCCTGCCTGATGACTTTCTGCTGCCTGAAAGCAGTGATGTTGGATCTTCCAAGCTTTAGATCTTTCACAGGAGCATCCACAACACAAAGATATAATTCCCTTGTTTTCCTCTCTCTCATTGTATGACTTCACCATGCTATTATACCTGCGGAATTCTATCTAATACTTGGTTATATTAAAGACCTCTGTTATGGACGAAATGCTTCTGTTCCCCCCAAATTCATATGTTGAAGCCATAACCCACAAAATGGTGGCATTTGGAGATGGGGACTTTGGGAGGTAATTAGCACTAACTGAGGTCATATGGGTGGGCACCGTGATGCACTTAGAGCCATTATAAGAAGAGGAGCTTCTTCTTAGACCAGAGCTTCCTCTCTTTGACATGTGAGGACACAGTAATAAGGTGACTGACTGTAAGCCAAGAAAAGCACTCTCACCAGGAACTGACCCTGCTGACAACTTGACTTCAGACATCCAGCCTCCAGAACTGTGAGAAACAAATATCTATTATTTAAGCCACCCAGTCTATGGTATTTTGTTATAACATCCTAAGATTGTAAGGCAAACTCGTCCCTCTAAAGGTAAGGGAAGAAGGGAAAGAAAGGAGTTTAAAGGTAAGGGATGATCCAGAAATGCTAATTCTTGAGAAAGGTGCCAGACGGGAAGACATCTGACCACCACTTCCATGAAGCCCTCCTTGGCCTCCCCGGACTGACCGTGACTACGCTTGCCCACAAGCTCAGGTGCCATGCCTGCAGTGTTGAGTGGCATTGATTTATGTGCCTATGTCCCTCTCAATTGACTCTGAGCTCCTTACGACTGGACCTTGCTTGTTTGTTCTCTCTGCACACAGCTGGCACATACTAGGGCCTCCCTAAGTGCCTGCTGAGTGGAATACATAGTACTAGGAGCTCTAGGTTATGTCTCCCAGGATGTCACTTTCAGATGTAGGCATCTCAGATCCAGCACAGCATCACAGTTAAAAGTGCTGGCCCTGCATGAGAATGCCTGGGTTGGAACCCACCTGCTCCCACTTAGTTGCTTGACCCTAAGCAAATTGCTGACTCTTGCTAAGTCTTAGTTTCTAAAACTCTTAACACACAGGTAGGAAGGATGCTTACTTCCTAAGGTTGTGGTGCCGTCAGCTGAGATTATCCATGAAAATAGTACTGGATCCAGAGTCAATACTCAGTAAACCTCAGCTATTATTATTTTTCGAGGAGTCAGAGGTGGGTGAGACTGCTTTGTGTGATAACCAGGGATACAGAGGAGGCTGGTCTTGAATTGACCTTAGAAGATGGGGATGGATAGTACCCAGTACTTGGTACGTGATAGCACCTGTTTCTCAGCACAAGTCTTCAAGGAAGGGATTATCATCTCCTTGGTAAAGATGAGCAGACCAAGGCTCAGGGAAGTTGTGAAAACCTGCCCAAGATCACACAGCTAATAAATTACAGAGTGGGGGCTTGAAGTCAAGTTTACCTGCCCCCAGCGTAAGACACTATAGGCACAGGCAAAGTTTCAGGAGCAGGAAAGCCCAAGGTCATTCAGACTGGCTACAAGAGAAGGTGCCTGTAAAGGGAGGAGGACAGATGAGGGACAGAAAAGTCAGGTGGTGCCAGGGGAGCTCTCCAATGCCAGGCAGATCTTGTTCCATAAATATTAGAATGCCATTTCAAGGGTGGGAACAGGGAAGAAAGCAGACAAAAGGGGTGGAAAGGGGCCTAGATTGTTGTATAGTCCTTGTCATTTATCATCACAGATCTTAGCAGTGTCATATCCACAGGAGCCGAGGTGATCAAGAGAGGGCTTGGTGCTGGCCACTCCTCACTGTGTGCTCCAGAAATGCCCGTCCTTTGTCTTGTGTCCACTGCTGCTGTTTGTAGAATTTCCAACTCACATTTCAGCATCTGAATGTTCTGCAAACAGCAGCTGGGCCCCGGTAGGAGGGAGAGGATGCCCACAAGAATACAGTTAAAGAAGCTACCACCTCTTCTGAGGATGCCCTGAGCTCTGAGAGGGCCTCTGTCCTAACAGGCTATGTCCAGGGATTCAAAGCAACTCTCCCAGCATTGCCACTACTCAGGAACAAACCTTGCACAATTGCCTCACTGCCCCCTCCCCCCACCAGAACTTCAGTTCCCTTTTGTAAAACCCAGAGAATAGAGCGCCATCTGCTTGAACCCATCTGCTGTATCGAGCAAGCACATGTTTGTGAAAAGTGCAAAATCATCATCCAAGCAACAAATTTGCCACCCTGATACTTCCTTCCTCCTGTCTCCACCTTAAAGTCGACTTGATTAAATTTAATAATTACATTCAATCTGAAAAACACATATAGGGCACCAAAATAGGGACTGGACATGCAAAAGTGAATGAGAAAAGTTTGTCCTTAGATATCGCTCTCGTTAATAGAGGAATTCCAGACCTGAGCAAATATGGCGGTGGGCAACCTGGATGTCATCGGTCGTCTGAGATTCTTCCCACGTTGCACCCATTACTTGGGATGCCACCACGTGAGCATTTTCTATATGCAAGGCACTGGCTAATTTCCTTAACATTGTTATTTTATTTAATCTTTAAAACAATCTTGTCTCAGAGCTTCTAAAACCAAAGCTCATCAAAAGATCACCCAGCTATGAAGTGGCACAGTCAGAATTCTAACCATGAACACACACCCAGAAACCTTTTTTCTGCCAGTCAGTTTTACAATGAGCAAGTTCTTCTCCTTGCACACCTACTTCCCACTCCCCTTCCACATGGCTGCATTATTTCAGGCCCCCATCATTTTTCACAGAGGTGATTTAAATAACCAGTACCCTGGTATCCCTTGCTAATTTCCAATCCATCTCCCCATGGCTACTAGAGTGAGCCTTCTCAGTAGATATAATCATGTCACTAGTGTTCAAAATTCTAAATTTCTTTCTTTGTCTCCAAGGTCTAAATTCTTTGACATGTCATGCAAAGCCCTTTCTGATCTTAGTTTTACAAACCTCTTTCAGTGCCCCCTGAATACTCAAGCCAAGCAAACAGGACCACGAGTATGACCCCACCCATCAACACTTCTCCGAGTCTCTATGATGGAATTCCATTCTCCCCTCATCTATCTAGCAAAACCCTACTCTTGACTAAAAATTGAGAGTTTCCTCTTATAGGAAACCTTTCTGAGCCATCACAGGCCCCGTTAACCAACCCAGCCCTGTACTATCTACTGTAATAGTTACTTCTATTATGAGGAAGTTGATCTAATGAACAGTGACAGCAGGATGCCCCTGACATGAGATGGGACAAGGGAAGGAGCATTTATCTATGGTTGGTCCTGGTCTTGAGGAAGGAAGGAGCATTTATCTATGGTTGGTCCTGGTCTTGAGGGATACATCATGGAAGAGGTGGGATTTCAATGGATTTCAAAGAAAGAATTGGATGCACTGAGGTCACTGTGCTCTGAATTCCCAGCTGTCACCACGGAGAATGTCAATATTGAAGGCTGTCAAGTAGGAAGAAGACAAAGTCCCTTAAACAAACTCTGGGCGGAAGGATGGTGGTGTCTTTTGTTCTCCAGGTTTGGCTGCTGGCTGGTGGCTCATCTGGCAATGAGCCAGGTGTTCCTCAGCACGTTGACATTTTAAGAGATCTGGCAGCAGCGGCAAGTGTGGGTGAATTTTACACTTACTAAGGCTCTTTCCCTCCAGAAAGATCAAGTTCCAGCCATCAGGGAGGGGGCTATGGACATTATCACTTTACTGACTAAGGGCATCGCTTGTTGCCTAGGAAAACAAATACTGATCTTCTCACTTTGCCTCCAGCAGCCCTGGGACTCTCACTGAACAGCATTACCTGGGGTGTTTTTCTTTGGCCAACCAGAAACAGGTTCCTTGACCCCTGACTTGGCCAGTCAGAGGCAAAGAGAACAAAGAAGCAACCATCATCATCCCCTCGCTCTGTATCTTCTAGGAGCCTCTGTAAGATTACAGAACCATTTGCTGTTTGGTCCTCTCTAACTTTAAGCCTACCAAATAATTCCTCATTCCCAGGAAGACAGTCCTCTGCTTCCACAATTCTTCTTTTAATCTTACGGCAACCTGTCTTTTCCCCCCTACTTTTAAAATTTCCACTGTGTACCTCTTACTACAATCCCTGAATCTTAGTCCAAGTAAGCACTTATTTTGTAGGGTTTCAGGAATTTTGAATACGTATAGACTGTAATTGTATCTTCTGCCCCTAAGCACATCTTTTTAAGGCTTAGGTTTTTGTTAAGATCAACTCTTCTAGTCTCTCTTTTACAGTCAGTGCTTCTGCCCCTTTTAGAACATGGGTCTTGCTAGAAGCGTTATTAATTCCCTGCCACTGAGGGTGGATTAGGCCATCTGTCATGGATCCTCACCCGATAATGATAACGTTAACAACAGCTACCACTGACCATGGGCTTGGTACTGGCCAGACGCTGGATACGGCTCCTGTCCTGAATTCATGATTTCATTCATTGCTACAATGAGTCTGAACTCAGTATCACTATTGTGCCCACTGTACAGGTGTGAGAACGAGGCTCAGAGGGGCTACATGACATGTGGACGGTCAGACAGTTAGTGAATGTCAGAATCTATCAGCCTCCGAAGCCAAAGGTCAGTGTCCCACACGATCTTGTATCTTGAACTTTTGTTGACGGCTGTTTTTATTTCTCCTTCTTAAGAAAATTACAATAAATAAAGACAGAAGATAAGATCTGAGAGACAAAAATATTGGACACCCTGAAATTGTCCTCTCCCCTTCTTTAGGGCCTCCCAGCAGGAGTGAAATTCAATTTCCTTAGCTAAATCCATTTGAATTCATTTTCAGGAGTTAAAATTGGACGACCGGCTGTAACAACGCACTCCAGTGAGGTCCGGGACTGCAGCCGCCTGCATGACTGCCATGGTCTTATTTTGTTCCTCTCGGGTTTGCCTGGTGTGATTTGTCCTTTAGAAACCAGCCTCATCTGGGAATAGTGGGCATTTGTTAATTACCTTTACAGAGCCAGCAGATGGTGCAGAAAGCACTGTATTGTCTGTGGACCCAAGCCAAAAAAGAGAGAGGGAGAGAGAGAGGCATCTGTTTATTTGTTTAATTTCTTCCTAAGGAAATGGTGGGTATAAAAATAAAACTGGCCATCACTAGGCATTTCAACATGAGGAACACTTTTGCTGTCGCATACAATGGTTTAAAATAAAATGCTCTTTTAGTCCCCAAAGACTTGGCAATTCAAAGAAGCATCTGAAACCAGGAACTGGCCGTGTTGGACTCATTGAGGACCCATTAGCTAGTCTTAGATGCTGGCCACACTTACCTGTCGAGGGAAACAAAACTGCCCCATCTCAGGCCTGATCTTTAGGAAGAGGACCACCCAGCAAAGTGGATCCCACATGAAGTCTTTCACTATGTGCTCCCACCCACTTCTCGACTAGCCAGAGTCCAGGTCCACCCACTTCTCGACTACCCAAAGGCCAGGTGAGTTTCATATTAACAGAGGATAACGGCCACTCTTCCTACACATTTGACGGTAGGAGTTCAGAGTATAAATCTGCACTGCTGTCCCTAGAATCAGAGAATAGTCCAGATGGAAGGGCCCTTAAAACAACCCCAGTTGAACCCCCTCCTTTCAGAGATTAGGACACTGAGGCTCAGAGCAGGAAAGGGCTTTATTCCAAGTCACCAAGCTTATTTAGTGGCAGAGCCAGGATCAGAAGTGAGGTACCCACGTCTCTCAGCTTGGTGCCCTCCTCCCCCAAACTCCACCAGGTGAGGAGAAGAGGGGAAAGGATGGTCTGAGACGACTACGTGGGCTACATGAGCAAAGTCTAAGAAACTGCCTGCTTTATATATAGTAGTGTGTATATAAAATAGATAACTAATAAGGATCTACTGTACAGCTCAATACTGAGAGTACTGTACTGGAACTCTACTCAATACTCTATAATGACCTATGTAGGAAAAGAACCTAAAAAAGAGTGGACATGTGTATATGTATAAGTGATTCACTTTGCTGAGCAGCAAAAACTAACACAACATTGTAAATCAACTATACTCCAATAAAAAAAAAGAAAGAAAGAAAGAAAGAAAGGAAGGAAGGAAGGAAGGAAGGAAGGAAAGAAGGAAAGAAAGAGAGAAAGAGAGAAAGAGAGAAAGAAAGAAAGAAAGAAAAGAAAGAAAGGAAGGAAGGAAGGAAGGAAGGAAGAAAGAAAGAAAGAAAGAAAGAAAGAAAGAAAGAAACTGCTGGCTGTAGAAGGGCCCTAATGGTCACACACATGGAGGTAGGCAGGCACGTGACTCTGAGAACCTTGAAATGGTGTAGAATGACAAGGGTACTGAGTGTGGGAAATAGGTCAAGAAGGGTTGTTTGGGGCCCGACTGTGAAGGGGTCTTGTCATAAAGATGTGGCACCAACAGATGTAAGCAGGGATAGTCATGGTTGGGCCTGTGGCAAATATGGTGATAATATGAGGACAGCCTGATGGGGGACAAGATTGGGGCAGGGGTGTTACTGGGAGAAAAACAAAAAGGGCCTGACTCAGGGCAGTGGCATTGGAGACGAAGAGGTTTTTATCTCCCCTCGCTCCACAGGAACTTCTCTGCTCAAGGTCACCAATGACCTTGAGCTTGCCAAATCCAGGGGTCATTTCTTTGGCCTGACCTTTCTCAGCACAGTTAATCACTACCTTCTTCAGATGCTTTCTTTTCTTAGGTTCCAGGACACTATACTCTACTGATTTTCCTCCTTCCTTAGGGGCCAGTCTTGGCCCAGCTTCGTCTGCTGTGTCTCTAAAGGTGATGACCACAGGGCTGCCTCCTGGGCTTCTTCCTCTTCATCCTGACTCTTCCAGAGACTTTAAACATGATCTTTGAACCAACGGCTTCAAATTTTATTTCTCTAGCACTGATCTTTGCCTTCATATACATGCACATATCCAACAGCTTACTACTTAAAAACCAAATGGATCTCTGGAGCAGAGTTAGATAAATGAAAATCCTCCATTCATGACACACACTGTCACAGTCAATTCATACAATGAACACCCATGAGCCCACAGGGCAACTCCAGAGCTAGATCTTTTTATACTTACTCATGTGCTTTTTACCTGTTTATTCCCTTGTCTTTCGCGCTCTGAAGTAACCATTGTTCTATATTTTATATTTGTCATTTCCTTGTTTTTCTTTTTTTAAACACAGTTTTATCACATATATATGTATGCCTAAAAAAGATATCTTTTGTTTTCAGTGGCTACTGAATTGTATTGAAAAGGTGTCATGCCGTATGTGGTTATATTTCTAAGATCCATCCATCTGGTTCCATGTAGCCTCAACCAATCATTTCCACTGCTATATAATATTCCATTGTCTAAATATACCACCATGTATGTATCCATTTTCCTGTAAATAGGCATTTGGATTGTCTCTAGATTGCTATTAAAATCAGCATCATTATGAGCATCTTGTCACATCTGCTGACACACATATGTAAGAGATTCATTTAAGGGTGTACCTAGGATTGAATGGCTCCTTCACTTGAGATATGAACGTTCAATGTTACATCATGATGCCAAACTGTTTTACACAATGATTATACTAGCTCACATTCCCACTAGCACTGTGTATGCATCCTTACTGCTCCACATTGACACTTGGTTTTATTAGACTTTTAAATTTTTGTCAATTATATGAATATAAAATCACATCTCGTTAAGATCTTGATCTGCATTTCCCTGATTACCCATGAGGTTGAGCAGCTCTTTACAAGTTTATTACATATTTTTTTTTTTTTAGTACTATGTCTTTCCATGTCTTTTGCTTATTTTTTCTATTGGTTTGTTCATCATTGCATTGTAAGAATTTTTTATATGTTTTGATATTTTGTGTCTTTTTATACTAATCCTTTGTCTGGTATATCTAATATATATATTCCACTTTATAATTTGACTTTTCATTTTCTTTAATGTGTCTTTCTTTGATCAACACAATTTCTTAATTATAACATTCTTAAATTTGTCAGTGTCTTATACTTAGTGCTTTTTTTTTTTTTTTTTTTTTGCGGTACACGGGCTTCTCACTGCTGTGGCCTCTCCTGTTGCGGAGCACAGGCTCCAGACGCACAGGCTCAGCAGCCAAGGCTCATGGGCCTAGCCGCTCCAAGGCATGTGGGATCTTCCCAGACCAGAGCATGAACCTGTGTCCCCTGAATCGGCAGGCGGACTCTCAACCACTGCGCCACCAGGGAAGCCTACTTAGTGCTTTTTTAGCTTTAATTTTTTCCCTGTCCTAAAGTGAGAAAGATATTCTTCACTATATTACATAAGAGTTTGAAAGTTTAATTCATCTTAAATTCATTTTTGGTATGGTGTCAGGTAGTGATCCAATTTCACCTTTTTCCTCCCACTATGAGTGACCATTTTACCAGCACCCTTTGATAAGCACCATCTCATCTCCCCACTGATCTGCCGTACAATTCCCATCCATATATTATATTCTATATATATGTGTGCCTTAGTTTCTCGGATCTCTATTCTATTCCAACAGGATGAATAAATTTTATTGTTTTGTCCACAACAATCCTTTCCTTTCATTCTGGTAATAGATTCTTTCATTCCTTTTTAGAGACTGCCCCTTCCTTACCTACTGGCCTTCCCAAAGATGTGGACATATGACCCAGGCTGGACAGCTAGAAGTCTCCATCTTCTGAACAAGGTGATTAGTTTAAAATTGGTCACCTGATTAATTAAGAAGCCAAGATAACAGAAAGCACAGAAGATGAATGAGAACAGAGGTAACTGCTTGATGATAGCTTTGAGCACCTGGATCCAGTGATGCCTGAAGCAAGTGACCCTTTGCACTTTCCAATTACATAAGCCAGTGGATGCTCCTTGTTGTTAAGTATGATTAAGGAGGGTTTTATCTCTTGCAGTTAACACACATAGATGGCCACAGCAGCATCTACTTGCAGATGAATCAAGAGAATACCTATGGGCAGACTTAATATTTTCCTCAATCTATCTCCCTCTGCTCCCACCCAAAGACAAATAAGAGATAGATCAAGTTCTCAAAACTCTGACGAACAGGTATTTTTGAGTCCTTTTTAAAATATAGAACACATTATTTAGGTAAATTCAATGCTGAAATCTCATATAGAGAACACATAAAAGTGGCATTGCTGTGGTTGAAGAAGGGCTGAGGACCCACACAAACCTCCCATGCTGGCCCAAGAGCAGTTTCCCCTTCCATAGTATATGAATGCTACGATCTTAGCCTGGAGAATTTCCTTAGCAGATCTTACTAGACCATTAAGAAGCCAAGAAAAGGATTTTGATTTTAGAGTGGGTGACTTTAGGCTGTTCATTCTGGAAATAACAGATAACAGGGCAGTTATCTTTGGAGGCCATTCTTAATCCATGACAGTAAAAGATGTCATCAGCATGGGGGGAATGCTGACTTTTCTGTTCTCTTGAGCAGGGGGAGAGGAAGCAGAGAGGCTTTTTGCTAGATTGAGAGTAATAGCAGAGCTGGGGAACCTAGGAATAGCTGCATCAGGTTTCATTGTCCCTTCACTCTGCCTCCACATTTATGACTTTCTCTCCTCCTCCCTCCACGGCCTCAGCAGTCTCCTAGCAAGAGGGTGCAAATCAGCCAGTCTTTGCAGTTCTGTTTGAAGTCAGATCTTCCCAGGGGAATCCACTTATCATCTGGGATCTCTCTACCCCTTGAAATCTTGGTAACTTGATTCAAATCCCATAATTCCATGGTCAGTGGGATTCCAAAATCCTCCACGACATTTATTTATCTTTGAAGCACTTAAACTGTGCCAGGCTCCTCTGCCTTGGGAAAAATATGGAAGGCTTATGGGAAAATCTGAAGGTGAAACAAACCTGAGAGGGAATGACAATAGGATAAATGATAGAATCAAAATCGACACGACCTTGAGAGATAAAAGCCAAGGTGATATCAACATTATGAGATTGGACAGGGAGAAAGGCAAGATTCTCCATTTCAAGTTTTATTATTTTTATTTAAAGATAGAATGGATGAATATATATATATATATATATATATATATATATATATATATATATAGCTATGCTTAAAAATAAAGAAACAGAAATCTCCTTGGATGGAGGAAGACAGTATTGATTATGATCCAGCCCCTCCCTAGTGGGGGGTTACCACACGGTCAAACCCACAGGGGGCTCCCCCAATCCAGGGAAAAGGCTTGGCAAAAGGAAAGTATTTGGTTCAAAATACTCAATTGGAAATAAAGCATTTAGGAGACCCAAGACCTAGTTTAGATTATGCTTTTCCACCATCCACAGGTAAGAGTCAAAATACCCTAGCACAGCATATGAGCCTCTATGTCTTCTTTCTATTTACTTTCCATTATTAACTCCATGATTGCTTCTCATGTGGATAAACCAAGCTTGCAACAAAACAACTATTTAGAAAGCTAACAAAATAGGCAATAATAGCTCTAGGAGTGTAATTTCCAGATCAAAGGAAGTGATAGGCCTGCATTACTTTGCATTGATTAAACCTTATCTGGAGTTTGTTCTGTGTCCAACTCTAGGCCTTATGTTTTCTAAAAACACAATGACAGATGGGGAAACAATCCAGCATGAGCAGCTCACCAACAGATGCAAAAGTGCACTTTGTGAGACCTGGTTACATTTTGCTCAGAGAAATCTTTAAGCTCCCTTGATTGCTATTTTCAAATGTTTGTAAGGAAAATGTAGGTGATGGAGCAGCAGACTTATTTCAGAAGAAATAAGTGGCCAATGGGTGAATCTTGCAGGAAGTTGGACTTAGCACTGCATAAGCACTAACCTTCAAAGGAATTGACTGTTGGGAACTACAGCAAGCTTTCTTTACCTGGGAGTGTGCATCTACAGAGACGTACTCAGTGCCCGAGAGGTGACCCTCTGCATGGAAGAGTTTAACTTATTTGAAATGTAGCCCTCTCTTAATGACTGTCAGCAGGTTCCAGGATTTCTTAGAGGTCCAGAAGTGTTGAAAATAACTGGAGTTGTCAAGAATAGAAATAAGAGAGAGGAGGATATGAGGAAGATGGGATTAGCATTAGAGAAACTCTGAAATCTGTTAAATGGTCTTTCTAGAACCTCCATTTCCTCTTTCTTGACCAGTGATATACTCTCCCCATCCTCCATGCTATTGTCTTGTACCACTTTCAAAATACTCCTTAATTAAAGGGTTAGTAATAATTCATACTAACAAGTAAGTGACTTAGAGAAATCCACAGTCTTTTCTGCCTAGAGCCATTGCTTACCAGTAAATGATAAAAGCTAACTAATAGACTATAAAGTCAAGTTATTAACCATTTGCAGGGGAGAGATGAAGTGTTACGTTTGGGGGTACGTATACTAAAGGTTGATGACAAATAACAGAAATGGCCTCTAACTAACTTCAGCACAAAATGAATCCATTTGAAGAACACTGGGGAAGCTCACCGAAATGAGGATCATCAACCATGCCTCAGGAAAGACATGAACCAGGGAAGCCCTGGGGACTGGGAAGTAAGAACAGGTGAACCTTCTCTACCATGGCTGCTGCCAGGAAACTCAGCTCTAACTGCTGTCCTTTGCCACCATATCTGTGTATGTCAACTTAATATTCAAATTCCCAAAAGACAGAAGATGATGGTGGATCTTGGGTCCTGTGACTACCTTGGGGGCTAGAAGAGAAGAGTCTGATGCCAGGTGCTGGTAGAAGCGTGAAGGTAAGACAACCAGATGTAGGAAAAGTCATAAAAGAGGGACGGAAATTCTTCCCAGCAACCTGAGATCACATCACACAAGTGAAGTTTTGAGAGTTGCCTCATGTCACCAACAAGTCCAATCCCATCACCATTATGCTCAGAGCCCTTGAGTGCCTCCCAGGTTCCAACAGGTGAAGCCCAAATTCCATAGCAGGTATCCATGACCCATGCGCTCTTGCCCTTGACCACTTCACTGGCCAAATGACCACTGAGTGGCCCTTCTGATTGACAGCCCAGCCACAGTGCACCAGTGAGCATTCCTAGTCCTAGCGCCCCTCTCCATGCAGCATCCTTCTGACTCTTGACGGCTTTGAGAGTACCTATTTGCCTTCACAGATGACGGAACAAGGTAACTGGCCGCATCCACAAAGTACCTGCTCTGTTTGGTATTTTCACTGACTCTGGTTTTATTTTTGAGGTTTACAGTATTATGGAATGTATTTCCCATGAGCCACCTCATATCTTTGATGGTATGAGGCAGGATGTAAACAGGTAGGGCCCTTTGGAGCATCAGAGCTGGGTCAGAAGTCAGGGCGATCTCCCTCTCCTTCCCTCCACTTCCAGGTTAGAGTAAATGCAGCTTCAAGTTACCTGCCACATAGTAGGTGCTCGATAAATACTTACTTGGTAATCTACTGAGAGAAGAGGGCTTTTACTCCTTATGACCAATGACCGGGGCCAGATCCAGGTCTCGGGGGTCTGAGGCTTACTCAGTTTGCCTGGCCCTCTAGGGAAAATAATATGAAGATATAGTACTTTTTTTTTTTTTTTTGCAGTATGCAGGCCTCTCACTGTTGTGGCCTCTCCCGTTGTGGAGCACAGGCTCTGGACGCTCAGGCTCAGCGGCCATGGCTCATGGGCCCAGCCGCTCCGCGGCATGTGGGATCCTCCCGGGCTGGGGCATGAACCCGTGTCCCCTGCATCGGCAGGCGGACTCTCAACCACTGCGTCACCAGGGAAGCCCAAAGATATATTACTTTTGCAGTTTTCACAAAAACAGACGGCGGGAGAAATACCTTATAATAGCCTTGTGTAAGAGAGAGAACTGAGGCAGAAATTTCTTACCTCCTCTGCTCATACCCACCCACATCATTTAACAGAAAAGAACCAGGTAAGGAGAAGGTTTAGCCTTTACTAGACCTTTGCTGTGTGCCAGCATCTCACTTCAGCCTCACAACACGGTGAAGGCGAATGTATAATTTTCCTGTGGCTGCCATAACAAATGATCACAAACTTGGTGGTTTAAAGCAACAGAAATTTATCCTTAAACAAAAATCAAGGTGTTGGTGGAGACATGCTTTTCTATAGAGGCTCTAACAGAGAATCTGTTGTTCCAAGTCTCTTCCAGCTGCTGCTGGCTGCTGGCATACCTTGGTTTGTGGCAACATCCCTCCAATCTCTGTCTTTACATCCACCTTCTCTTCTGTGTGTTTCTTATAGGGACACTTGTCACTGGATTTAAGTCTCACCCAGATAATCCCAGATGACTTAATCTCCAGATCTTAAATTTAATTTTACCTGCAAAGACCCTTTTTTAATAAGGTTACATTCACAGGTTCCAGGAATTAGGATATGGATATAACTTTTGAAGAGAGACTTGTTATCTTCATTTTGCTAAGGCTCAGAGAGGTTAAGAACAGTTCCCAAGGTCGCACAGAAAATGATGGATCCAGGATTCAAACCCAGGCAGACTGCCTCAGTCTGAGATCTTAACCACTATTTTATACAGCAACTGCAAGTTGTAAACCAATGGATGGAGAGGATATATCAGTATTCCCCTGAATAAACAGTTTTATAGAATTTTAATAGTTGGCTAGATTTAAACATTTCAGGTTATTTTATATAAAATTCTGGATTTTCAGTTATAAAACAACAACACAGGGATACCTCAACCCAGAGACAGAATTTCTTCATGGCAATAGTTGGATGGTACTAAGGGGTGGCTGCCCCTTTTAGATGGGACATTAATGCTTTAGTACTCCACACACACACCCCCCACCTACCCTCTTATTTACCCTTGGTCTCCACTCATTGACTTGACTTGCCAGAACCTTGAAAGTACTTGAGCTGGGCTCTCTGCATACATGGATGGTTGCAGAATTGATTAAAGGCTCTACACAACTTCAAGGCCTGTTTCAGGAGGTCTTGCCCTATTTGTATCCTCTCCAAGGCTCATGGAGTTCTCTCCCTCCTCTGCATTTTTCTACCCCTTTATAAGCCATGCCAACCTCCTCAACCTTGACCTTGAGTTATTGGTAATACTGATTATATTCTTGCCCCCAAACTCTGATGGCTTCTAGATTTAGTGTTTACTTGTTTTTTTAACTGCAGGTCAGGTTTCTGCGAATTGTGCTTGAGCTGCACTGAACTTCTTTTGGTTCCACAAATGTCAAAAGTGCTCTCACCTCAGGCCTTGGCACCTTCCCCTCCTGTGCTTTGGTGGCATTTCACTTCCCTCTGTCTTTTCATACCTGGCTCTTTCTTGCCTTCGAATTTCAGTTTAAATTCCATATCCTTGGTTACTTCGTTCAGCCCAATCAACCATCAAAAGACATTGTTGAGAAAATCAGGGGGAAATTTGACCACAGTCTTGGTGTTGGATAATATTAAGGAATACTTATTTATCTTTAAGGTGCATTAATGATATTGTGAATATGTTGTTATTGTTGTTTCTGAGTCCATTTTTATTAGAAATGCTCACATGTTTATGGGAGAAATGGTACAATTTCTTGGATTTGCTATAAAATACTCCAACAACAACAACCAAAGTATAGGAAGTATAAGTGAAATCAAAGAAATGGGGTTGTCAAAATGTTGATGACTATTGAAGCTGGGTGAAGGTTATGTGGGGATTCATTATATTATTCCTTGACCTTTGTGTGTGCTTAAAAAATTCATAATAAAAAAGATATGTGTGTGTATCTATGTATATGTTTGTAAAATCTTGGACATCACATTCTCTGACTGCCTGACATCCTTATTTCATTCTCCCCAGCACCCATCTCTTCATGATCTGTTATTATTTTTCTACCAGTTTGGGTGTGTGTGGGGGGGGGAGGGGTGTGTGTGTGTGTGTTTTGTTTTATCTCCTTGCACCTGTCCTACAGAATTTAAGAGCTGGTTCCTGCAACTAGAATTTTCACACTCTGAGCAAATGGACAACTTTTTCTTCTGTTCAGTGGCACATCTCTAAATGCCTCCTAAAGCAATAGCTTGTACATGGTAGGTGCTTAGTAACTGCTTTTGACTAATGAACCCAGACTTTAAGCTCCAAGAGACCTTGTCCCCTCCCCTGTGCATCAATGTGGTCCCTATTGTGATGTAAGGCTCTTGATCTGACTATTTAGGAACTGACTGTGAAATAAATGCTTATGTGCTCTGAGCTGCACTTTACAACATGCTTGCTTGTCTCCTGTTTATTCTTGGCTTGTGTGTGATAGCAGCTTGGAGAGTATGGGGGTATAAAGTAGCTTTTTTTAAAAGTACTTTAGGAATTCCTGGAGTATTTCTAAATTATTTTTCTTACACAATTTAAAACTAGTGTTAAACTGTCTATATAACACAACAAACATTTAAATGTCTTAAAGATTACATTTTAACCCATTTAAGGTTAAGGCCATCAATGAGTTACTTTGAGTTGCCAGATTATCTAATTCTGGAGAAGGGCCTTATTATAGTAAAGCTTTCCTGATATCTTAATGTGTGTATTTGCATGTTTTTGGAATGTAGCATTGATTTGGAAAGCCTCTTATTTTTTGTTTGTTTGTTTCTTTTCTTCCTTTTTTTTTGTTTTTAAATTCAGGCTCAATCAGGTCCTGTCATGTAAAACTGTATATATAGGAACCCTTATACAGTACATCTTTGCATGATTAGGTACTGGGCAAGGGAAGTTGTAACGTAGGACCTGGTGTCATGACGACAATCCCAACACAGGCAATTTCTCAGATGACCATCCATCTTAAAGCCTACTGATGTGAATTGGACATTTAAGTTAAAGAATGTGGAGTCATAGTTAAATATTAGTAGCAATGCAGTTTTATAATATGTGGACTAGTTTTACTGAAGAATGAGTATGCTGACACCAAAATGAGCTACTTGGGAAATGGCAGTCCTTTGCAGCTATGAATCTATGTAGAAAAGAAGTTTGTTTGTTCAATTCTGTGCAACAGAAACAAAATTCAAAAATACATGAAATTCTGAAGCTTACGGAAAATTGTAACTGTTGTCTGTGTCTTCAGCTTTGGGATTCTTGTGTTAATTAGCAATGACTCATTGTTTTTAAATGTAGGCTCTGAGTTTAAACAAATAGATGATATTTATACCAGCATGCCACTTTGAATTTTCAATATAGTTTGCATATTTGCAGTCTATGTAAGCTTTTATTTGAAAACGAGACTCCACTGCTCAAAAAAAAATAAAACAAAAAACGCTGGGTTAGCGGGGAGAATATGGTGTTTAGAGGTAGGTGGTCTTGGGTTCAAGTTCAAGGGATGCCCAGTACGACATGTCCCAAAACTTGTATTTCATAACTGCTTGCTAGATGCTGTCCTGTCTTTACGAATCCGCTGCCTGCATGCAAAGCCTTAGATCCTTGAGGTTCTTCTGCTTTTCCTTTTCTTTCACAAAACATCTCATGTGAGGAAGGTGCCATCCTGCATGTCCATATGGTAGCTACGTTCAAAGCCCAAGAAGAATCTAGAAGATAAGGGACATTCGTAAAAAAGTGCTGGCTAATCAGGCCTGCCAGGCTCTGAGCCCAAGTGGGCAGTTCAGTTTTTGAAGAGTTTTGTTTCTCCAAGAGGCCGCCAGGACAATGCAGGCCTTATGCTAAGTCAACTGACCAGACCTTACCTCCTGCCACTGCCCCACCCCCAGCTTTGAGGACCGCCCATAATCTTCTACGGGGGACAAAGTAACAAAGACCAGTCTATTTCCCTCCACCCTGGAGATGCCATCAGGGGAGACAGAGCATGTTTTCTTCAAAGTCCAAAATACTCAGTTTTGGGCTAGAAGGCCAAACTTGTTGAACTGGGAGGGAGTGGGCTCAGATGCTAGGCTGGGAGGCGTTGGCAGGTTTTCTAACTTTGGATGGAGCGTGGGCTCTGGGTGAGAGCCGGGGTGGGAGTGGGGCTCCAGGAGGAAGAAGGGGATATTGCCAGAACTGGCTGGCTCCAATCACGCACATTCTTGGCAAGGAGAGAGAGTCCTTGGATGGGGAAATCTCCAGAAGCTGCAGAGAAGGTAGCCTTTTCACTGCCTATGTTTTCAAAATCATAAAGGCAATCACATGCTTTATTAGACTTTAAGCCAGAGTTGACGCTCTGCGAAAACAAAGCCAACAAACAAAACCCAAATGTCTTAAATAGGTCATCAGAAAGACGTCTCCTTGGTGTTGACAATCAAATTTCCTCTTCATGTTTCACTTGCAGACACGAAGCCTGCCGTGGTGCAGTGCTGGGATAGTCTGCTACACAGTCTCTCTGACCCCAGGATCATTCTCTTTTGTCTGCTCTGCACAGGGCAGGTAGTGGCTGCCTTAGTGCCTACACAAATGAAGGTGCATTTCACGGCTTTAACTTTCTGTTTCTCCCCATTGTCTATAAAATAAGCTTAGACTCTCATCCTTGCCCCTCAAAGCCTTCCACAATCTGTCCCTAAACTATTTGTTCAATCTTAATTTTACTGTAACTATAAACTACTTATCCCCCTATCAATTTCACATTCTGTTTCCCATTCATGCATCCTGCTCT